GCTGGATTAATTACAAGAACAATTAGTACTGGCTGTCAGGGAGTGCGCCCGTGGACACACGCACTGTTTGTCCTGTCTCTTCCACAGTCCTCCGCACCCACCGCTCCCCCCTCCCCCCGCCCCGCATCGAAATCTCTCCTCGTGGGAAGCAGCCCCCATGTTTGCCTCCCAAGTCTGGTTTCCACACGCCGTTCCCATCACAGGGGAGAGACTGCTGGCCCACTTCAGGTGGGAACTTACTTGCCCCCGAAGAGGTTTGGAAACGCTGAAATAGATAATGGGATAAAGTCTGGTATTCCAATGAAATTAGTTCATTAGTTCAGGTTCTGTAAGGGCAAATTTGCTGCAATTTCAATGTGGAGCGGACTAAACCTTATGAATTGACTAGCTATAAAGAACCAATGTGGGATAAAGTTCATTTCTTTAAGTAAGTCTCAAGTAGACATTCCATTATGCTGCATACTCCCTGGTTTATTATGTATGGATTTAACATATGTGCATAACAAGCACTTAGGGAGAAGCGGAGGCATAGAAAAAGTGAGAAAACTGACTCTCATCATGCTTGAATTATAATAATTGCAAAAGTGCCTGAGTTTTTATACTAATTTTAAACACCTCTTTTTTTTTTTTTTCCTGCACATTAAACACTGGTCAATAATTCAGTGAACCTAAATCTGTTTGGTGAGTCCCGATGGTGGAGTGGCGGTAGCCTCGGACTGGGAGTCAGGACAGCTGGGTTCAAATCCCTGTGTTCCACTTAAAATCTGGGATAAACTCTTTTACCTCTGACAGGCTCACTCAGTTTTCTCATCTGTCAAATTGTAGAAGAAATCTTCCTACAGAGTTGGTAAGAATGATGTCCCTTTTAAAGTGTAAAGTCCTGGACAGATACAAAGGGCTATTAAAATCATTATTACAGGAAGTCTAGGGATGGTGTTCACCGTCTGGTGGAAGTTGCTGTCTGGCAGGAAGCAGGAGAGTGAGGACGCAGGATGGAGATCGCAGACACCAGGCAGTAGTGCCAGGAGGCAGCTCGCTCGCAGACCAGGTCAGCTGTGCTTGGGGTCAATGCATCCCCACGCATTGCTTTAAACCCTTGCAGGCAAGGTCAAGGCCAGTCTGCACACTTATCTGGCTGGGGGCGGTTGTAAGAGGTGAGCTCTCCCACCTTTTGCTCCTTGCTCCGTCTGGTCAGGGTGACTGGCTGGGGCAGGGGAGGAGGTAACAGGCTTGCCGCAGGGTCCTCCCTGGGAGAGAAAGTCCCTTCCCCTCAGCTCTCAGCTTGCATCCTGGAGCTATGACGGGGCTGCTGCCACACCGACTCTCTTACACCTTCTGGAGGTTTGTCCGAGACTTCCTCCTCCCTGACTCGAGCCCACCTCCCTCCTGCTGAGCAGCTGTTGTGTTAAAGTTAGTACAATTCAGGTGTCCTTGTCATTGACTCACATGTGCTGCACCCCCCTCCCAGTTTTCATCACCAAGTTTAATCTCAAACCATTATTTAGCCATTTTTAAAAATATCTTCCATCAACCCAGTGCCTTGCATGGATAAGACTTTTAACAAACAGTGAAATGCAGATTTTTTAAAACTTGAGTGATAATCTTTGAAAGGAAAACTAGAGTCATCACATTCCCTGACAAGGCATGTGGTCACCCTGGTCTGAGAAATAGTGGGGTGGTCCAAAGGGCTCAGGAAGGGAGTCACCAGGCTGTGACCCTGTGACCTTGGGCAAATCATGGCCAGATTACCTCCTCAAACATGGTAGCAATTCACACTCCCACCAGCAGGGCAAGAGTGTCCAATACACAGCTGCAGTTTTCAAACTGCAGCAACACAAAGATCTATTCAAAAGCAAACTCAAAGACCTACCATATAAATTGCCTAATGATTCCCCAGGCTGTTGGACACTTCTCTGCTGGCAAAGTCCCAGAAAGACCTCATCTTTGCCCTGGATGGTGCACAATTAAAAAACCCCAAGTCTGGATCACACCTAGCACCTCCTACTTCATCATTTTACTTGTCATTTGACGGAGCTAGAAATTGGGTGGGTGAGCAGATAGAGCAGGTGGGTGGGGGCTAGGTTTTCCTCAGGCCCCCAAACAGTTGCAGGTAGGAGCTGGGATGAAGAAGCCCATTTCTAGGTAGAGCCTGTGAAGGAGCTGGCCCACTAACAGAGGCAGGAGAATCAGAGGCCAGGCCAGCAAAGCTTGCCCCCTGCACGAATCCCCCTTTGGGGACATGCTGCTTGCCGAGGGCCTCTGACAGCTCTTTCTCTCCCATCACTGTATTAAACAAGCATCTATTAAGGCCTCTGCAGAGTAGCCAGACACTGTCCTTTGAGCTGGGAATTTACAATACAATCTGCCCCCAAGAACGTGGCTGGCTCTTCAGGAGCCGGTGGGTAAAGGTGGGGTAGCATGTAATGATGGCAGGAACTCAGAGGATGGCCCATGACCTGGACTTAAGGACAGGGGAGGGGATGGTTTCTTGGAGGAGATGATTCTCATGGTTAAAACCAGAAGTGCAAGTGGGAGTTAGCTAGGTGGAGGGACTGGGCAAAGACATTTCACAGAGAAGAAACACATAGTTCCGTGTTCACAGGCAGTAGGAGAAGATGGAAGAGCCAGGGGCTGAGCAGAGTTCAAATCCTCACTCCCTCCTCCATTTGCTGTCCCAGCCATGTTATCTATCCCAGCTCCTACTACGATCGTCATACCCACCCTGCAGGGCTGCACTGAGAATTAAATGAGATAATGCACAAAAAGTACTGGGCATACACTGCACGCAGTGAATGTTATTAGATGTTCTGAACTCTTTCCCATTACGCTTGTCTGTAAGCTGCTTAATGACAGGTTTGCCGTCATTAATTTACTCGTCTTTGAAGACTCACTGCCTGGCCCAGAGCCTTGTATTTTGTAGGCACCCAATTAATATCTATTAAATGAATGCTGAATAAGTGCAAAGGCATATAAATCAATTTGGGGGATTAGAAAGCCATTTTTATGGCTGGAGCCCATCTACCTCTTGACCCCTTGCAGGCAGACACATGGTTTCTCAAACTGCCTGGCAAAACTTCCCCTTGACCCAGGCCCAGGGCTCGGGCTCTCCCAGCACACATGTTACACAGCAGCGCACCTTCGATGGCGGCCACCCCACATCAACAGAGGCACACGGGTTCCCTTGAGAGGCACACAGAGGCTATCATACCTGTTGAAAAACAACCATCTCAAATGTCCTGTCCTCCCTCTTGCCGCTCACGGACACCTCTCAGAGGCATCCTTCTTTCTCCACCTGAGTTTCTTCTCACCTCAAGTAGAGTGAGTGTCCCCCACTCACATGTATCCAGCTGAGACCTTGTACTTGAACTCCCAGTTGCCGAGTCTAACTTTAGCTGTAGACCTCGGGGAAAGCCTTGTCCCCCTGCTGCCTCAGTTTTGTCACTGGTAAACACAGAGAGTTAACCGTGCTTCATGCCAACCTGGTAGTTATGTTGTGAGGACGATGGAGATACCAAAGGAGATAATGTCTGTGATGTGCAGAAAGTGCCTCAGAAGAAAGGTGCTGGATAAATACAAGGTGCAGACGCCACGCCTGAATAATATGTATGCCTCTGCCCACAGACTTCAACCCACAGACTTGGCTCTTCTCCACCCTGGAGCCCCAACACCCTCCCCCCGCAAACGTTGTCTCTAATAGCCATTTTCACATGCACACATATACATACATTCTTCCAGCACCTGTATTTTCCCCAGCATGGCCATGGAAAATTGTTTTTGAACTTCAAGGAAGCTCAGGTTACAAACACTCTCTTGCTCCCACCCACAGACTGCTCTCAAGGGTCTCTCAAGAACTGCCAAGCAGACAGCTCATCTCCCTGTGGCTGGGCTCCTCCGCTCCCATGACTGTGACTGGGCCGCCCTTCAGCAGAGCAGGAGACCCTTATCTGGCCCAGCTCCTGCCAAGAGCTCCTCAGAACTCAGTGCCTCCTCAATTGTTTGCCGGCACCCAGGACCGAGCAGAGGGGCCGAAGGCAGCAGGAGAGTGCGGTGGAGGGGAAGAAAAGAACCTGGGAACTTCAGATGCTCATGTCCCTAAGCACTCCTTGTTCCTGGGAAATTGTCGGCTCTAAAGCTAACAAGTCTGAGGTGCTTTCCTAGGGCTGACACACTCGTGGGCGAGCTGAACACTCATTTGCTCCACAGTTCAAATCCTTTCCACCTGGAAGAGGAAAGAGAAAGATCGCCTGGTGGCTCTTGGTGTTTGGGTGCCTTAAGCATGTGGAAGGGTATGTGTGTGAGTGTAGGGGTGGGGAGAGTAGGGGCTGGCTGCCTGCAGTGGGTGAAAACAAGAAATGAATGTGGGGTGTGAGTGTTACTTTAGCTGCATTGCATGTTCAGGACTGGCAGCACCAGGCGGCCACTTAAATTCTGGGGTTCATCACTACCCCCTCTATGCACCTCATCTGGTGTGGCATCCTCCCTCAGTGAAATATTCCAGGCCTCTAACTGCACCAGTGTCCCTGCCACCCGGGCGGACACAGCCTATTACCAAAGTTCCAGATGGCCAAGTTCAGTGGCCAGGTTCCAGCTGTCAAACCCTCTGTCTGGAGCCAGGGCCCCTTGGGCCTCATGGTCATCTCTGGCTTCCTCAATCTCTGACACCAGTGTCACCCAACACTTATGTCTATCAAGATCAGATTCGGGGCTGGGAGTAGATAAACCCCGTCTGCAGGAGACAACGACGAAGATAGGACAGAAGTACCATTCTATCTTCTGGTCTGGGACCAGCCAGCAGCACCCACCCTGGAAGAGGGGGGACCCTGACAGTTACGTGCAGAGACAAAGACACCTAGACAGACCTGGCACAGACAGACAAAGATCGACGGACGCGCCGACGCGCTACACGCCGCAGGGAGCGCGGTGTCCCCAGAGCCTGGGCATCCTCCGCGGCAACAGACCCTTTTGGAAGGGAGCGAGACCCCTCGTTCATCGCACCGTACCTGCCTCCTGCGCCTCGGGCTGACTTGAGAATTATTTTTCAGCGTGTCTTGCAGTTTGTTCTCGTCTGTTTTTTCCTAGAGCTGCTGCGTGGCTCTGGCTCGCCGGACGAGGCAGGCAGAGAAACTTCGGCCGCTCCACCCGCGCGCTGCCCACCGCTCGCCCGCTCGCTCTTAGCCAGCCAGCCTCCGCGCGGGCTGGTCCCAGAGCCACTGGCAGGCAAGCGGGTGGGGCCAAGGGAGGGCGGGGAGGGGAGGGGCAACACCTCTCATTGGCCGTACTGGACAGGGGCGGAGCCGCGGGAGGGACTGGGAGGGGCTGGTGTCAGAGCCTCTCATTGGCCTGGGCGGGGCAGAGCTGCAACAGGCGTGGCGTGGCGTGGCTTATCATTGGTCGGGGCAGGGCGGGGCGGGGCGGGGTCGGTGCCGGCGTCGCTCATTGGCTCAGGCGCAGCCGGCAGCCTCGACCCTACCTCCTCGGCGGCCTTTGTTTCTGGCTGACAGCTGGGGCTGCTCCGCACCTCCCCGCTCCTCTGCGTCCGCAGTGGGCACAGAGTTCCAGGACACCCATTTCTCCGTTCTCACTTCCAGCAAAGTCCGTCGAACGGCCCTGCCTGCTCGGTCTTTCTCCTTTCTCCCTTTCTCAACTGTTCCCATCTTACTATTATCCTCTCCCTTTTTTCTTTTATTACTTGCACTTCGTTCTTATTCCTTTGGGGTTCCTTTATCTGCTCCTTCTCTTCCTTCTTTTTTCCGTATTTGCCCCCTTTCTTATTACCCCTTCTTCTCCTCCTCCTCCTCCTCCTTCTACTTCTTCTTCAGTGTCCTTTTACCTTCTACGTTATCTCACTCCAGTCCCCAAACCCTGCAAAAAGGCTGGATTTCTAGGTTCAAACACTTGACCAGCTACCTAGTGAGGGGCATTGTTTCACCATGCCAGGATTATGGATCAGGATGCAGAGCGCTGGCACTCCTACTCCCAAGAGATTTCAAAGGCAAACTTTTTCAGTTCCCTCCCAGAGACTGAGTTTCAGGGAAAAGCTGAGGCCTGTTTCAAGTTTATAGCTATTAATCTTGCCCCATACCTGTCTAACACTATCATTTTCTCTACTACGCTCACTTTCAACTTTCAGCAATTGAGCTAGAAGGAAAATCAAGCTTACAAGCTTTGGTTCGACAGTTAAACAGGGTGCCAGGTGTGACATGATGCTCCGGTCCTGAGAGTGCAATGTGGCTGAACCTCTAAAACGCAGGTGTGGCTCTGGCTAGGCAGCATCAACCTCAGACAAAAGGGGTGTGTGTGTGTGTGTGTGTGTGTGTGTGTGTGTAGGAGGAAGATTGAGGTGGCTGACCTCTGTCTGATTATAAGCAGAATGGAGGAAGACAGCCCTAAGGGAAGCAACTCCCCTTTGTTTCTGCCACCCTCTGCTCAAAACCTCACGATATCTGGTAGCAGATCTTCACCACCAGGTGCTGAAACGGAACACTCCGAACTCTCAATGCTAGGCATCCAGGAAGGCAGCACAGCAAGGGTTGGAAAGCACAGACAGGCTCTCCCACTTACTACCTGTGTGACTCTGAGCAGTGCTTTAACTGCCTTACATCTCAGTTTTTTAAGTGTATAAAATGGGGGTGACAATTCCCAGAGTGCCGGCTCCTGAGGGCAAGGACTGTTCTCTTGTGTTCATGGCTGCGATTCTTGGCCTTGTTTCTTCACGGATGCATCCCCAACACCTACAATTTGCCTGGCTTGTAGTAGGCACTCAATAAATATTGTTAAATAATGAATTCATAGTTTATAGTTTGCTGAGAGGATTAAGTAAGAATACCTGGCATGTGGTAAGTACGTACCCATGGTAGCTATTACAACGGCAACTCTGTATCAACCCCAAAGGCTACTCAGCTTCTTCTGAACTTCACCTCTTCTTTTTCACCATTGTATGTACTTGTCCCTTAGTTTGAAAAGCCTTTCTCTGTCACAGTTTGAGACCTGAAATGCAGTCCTTTCTTATTCACATGCAATCCCTATTTCTCTGGTGATCGCAGACAGAAGGATGGCTTCCGTGTCTGAAGCCCTGTGCTTCCTGTGACCCATTCACAGACACAGCTTGTGCGTTCTTGCTTGCATGGCGGCTGTGGCAGTAGGTCTGCTTCCTGAGCGTGGGAGTGGTCTGGGGTCAGGGACTGCATCCTACACCTATCTCCAGAGACAAGTGTGGTGCCTCCCAGCTGAGAGTTTGCAGGAATATTTGCTAAATGGATGGATATCAATCAAACATCCCAGATCCTTAAATAAAGGGCAGGCTCTTGAAAGGTAGAGTAAGGGATCGGGGAGCTCCAGACTTCAAACTCATTTGTGTGCCTTCAGGTGTGGAATTCAATGCAAGGGGCAAAGGCTTCTGGAGGTGTGCAGCTCCTGTTTCCAACCCTGCCAATGACTATTAAATGCCATTGGAAGAGTCTGGATAGGCCTCAGTTTTCTCATCTGCAAAATGGGTAGTTTGAATGAGACTCTCAAAGGGCCCTCCAGCAATGGAGTACAGTGCTTCTCTGTCAGGGGTGTTCAAGATAGAAGACAGGGCCTGACATGCAGCCCTCTTATAATGACTGAGTGAGGCAGAGGGTGCGGGCAGTGTGTCGGTGTGGTGTGAGGGGTGGAACCTGGATCTGATATGGAACAATAGAAACACCCATGCAAGGGGGGTGCTTCAGGGATAAAGGGCGTGTTGACAGTGGAGGTGGAAGTAAGGAAATAAGATGGGGAGAGGAGACCTATGATGGCATAATGTGTGCGTGCTCATAAAAGCCTCAGGAATGTGGTCTCCAGAAGTACCAAGCCATAATTAGCTCCCTGATTCAGCTGTTGAGTACGGTACTGCCATGGCTGGGTGTGTCTACCCCTCAAAGCCCTGGGGGGGAATCTCAGTGTGGCTCCTCTTCCTTGGTCTAGTGAAGGGTGCTGCTGTTCCTGGGCACCGCATGCGGACATCTGCATCCCTCAGGCTCTCCTGGGTCTGAGCTGAGTCTGGAAAGCTGGCTCAGAAAGCATGTTCTCATAAAAAGTTCCCTGCCATCCTCATCCACTCATCACCTGCCAGTCAAGTAGCTTGCTGTTCCGGCTTATTGTTCTGTCCTTCATCTCTGTCCTACTATTGGCCATGTAGGACCAGGCCCATGGGCCAGTCAACCCAGCAGCTGGTCTGGACTAGAGACGCCTCTGCCTTTCCAATGGACTTTCACTATCGCAATTTAAATAACTGGCTGTCTTCTCCTTCGCCTTCAACTCTTCTGTAAGTTTCTCATTCAAGACCACTTGTTTCTTATTTAGCATTAAATCCCCAGCAAATGGTTGGCAAACACTCAGAAAAATACCTGAGTGAATTCTATGGAGGGGGCAGGGTGATGCTTCCGAGAGGAACGGACTCGCCACGGACCACCCACATGTACTCCCCCCTCTTCAAACACGTGCTCTTGTCACGACCTTTTCGAGACTCACTGGTCAGACGGGCCCAATAACATTTGCCCTGTCTTGTGGCGATGACCTAAAGATGCAAAGAATTAATAAAGTTGAAGGTGATAAGACAAGTAAAAAATGTTAAATAATTGTTTAATTTATCATAAGCCTAAAATTCCAGAGCCTTGTGTTGGGAGATAAGAAAGGCTGACTACATTTAAGTGAGGCTAAATTCTCTTCAAAAGTAGGTGAGAAGATATTATAATGCTAGGTCATCGAGAAAAGCTTTCACAATAGGCTGCCATTGCTGCACATTCTGTCCCGAATCCCCTGAGAAAGTACAGGAAGGCTGCTTCGCTTGCAGGTCAAGGCAATGCCTTCTGACCTTCCGGGATTCCCACCAGGGTCCTGTCTCCCTCCAGGGCACAGAACAGTGCTCCAGGAGCTGCCCTGGAGGCATAGCTCTAGTAACCAGAATTTACCTTTTTTGCCAGTAAGTCCCAGCCCCCCTCCCCTCTTATCTCTGGGCTTCAGCAAACTCTCCTCTGCGCTGGGAAGAACATCTCTTCCTTCACTTCTCTGAGTTTTATATGAGATAAAATGCAAGCAGTATCTCCACTTTCCTAGAAAGTACTACCTGACTTCACGGAATTGTTTATCATTGTCATTATCCTTCTCCTCATCAGTAGCATGATTATCTATAAAGTTATGCTGAGTACTTAACCTGTATTCAGGTTCAGGCGACCAGGGAATTTGTGCAGGGAGCAAATTCTTAGGTGCCCTGGGGAAAACTCACTGACTTCAGAATTCCTGTCCAAAGATGACTCATCCCAACGAACATGCTCAAGTTACCTTAGGAAATACATCCACCCCATTCTTTTACTGAAAGGAAAACTGAGTCCAAGAGCAAGAGAAGAAATGGGCCCAGGTTCACTGGAGCTGGGACCCCAAGGTTGTAAGCCTGTGTCCTACCTATATCTGCCTCGGAAACCGTGTGGCTGATGCAGTACCGTGATGTGGTTTGGTTTGGGCGGCGTAGACTGTAGGCCGGCAGCTCTCCCCTGAGCAGAGAACTGTGAACTGGACGCTTTGGGTATCACAAAACCAGGACGCCAGTGGCACCCAGTAGCTCCTAGTGCGGATGGACTTTGAGTACCAGTTGGCAGGGCTCATGTGATCATCGTTTAGCAAGCCCTTTGATGTCAAGGCAGGGTTGAACTAGACGGCAGAGAAATGAGAAGGAAGTATTCTAATTTGACTTCCCCCTCCCCCAAACACACTTTCACAAGGGCGCAACAGGTTGGTTATAACTCACCACCCTAGCTCTGAAAGTCCTGGCCCATCACCTGCTCTGGAATCTACCTCTTCCGCGATTTGGACTAGTTTGTGTTAAGCTATGTATTGGAAAGATGTTTCTGCTTACAACTACCAAATAAGCCTAATCAATTTGACTTAACAACAGAAAAAAACATCTCGTGAATTAATAAATGAACAGATCAACTCCCAGGTTAACTTCGTACCTTGGCTTCACAAGGTCATCAGAGAGAGGGTCTTTCCATTTCTCATTCTGCCGCCGCCGCAGGCTTCGCTCCCAGGGTGGTGCTTTCCTGGCTGGGGGTTGGATCTGTCCGCCTCGTTGCCACACCCAGAGCCAGCAATGGGCTGAGGAATTCAAAACCTTTGTTCCTGCACCTCTCTCCTAGGATCAAGGATTTCTTTCCTGGAAGGCTCTCAGCT